CCATCAGGTGGCAACGTTTAGGGGAAGTGTCTAGGACAGTGTTTCTCAACCTTGGCAACTTGAAGATGTCCGGACTTCAACTCCCAGAATTCCCCAGCCAGCATCCATCAGGTGGCAACGTTTAGGGGAAGTGTCTAGGACAGTGTTTCTCAACCTTGGCAACTTGAAGATGTCCGGACTTCAACTCCCAGAATTCCCCAGCCAGCATCCATCAGGTGGCAACGTTTAGGGGAAGTGTCTAGGACAGTGTTTCTCAACCTTGGCCACTTGAAGATGTCTGGACTTCAACTCCCAGAATTCCCCAGCCAGCATCCATCAGGTGGCAACGTTTAGGGGAAGTGTCTAGGACAGTGTTTCTCAACCTTGGCCACTTGAAGATGTCCGGACTTCAACTCCCAGAATTCCCCAGCCAGCATCCATCAGGTGGCAACGTTTAGGGGAAGTGTCTAGGACAGTGTTTCTCAACCTTGGCAACTTGAAGATGTCCGGACTTCAACTCCCAGAATTCCCCAGCCAGCATCCATCAGGTGGCAACGTTTAGGGGAAGTGTCTAGGACAGTGTTTCTCAACCTTGGCAACTTGGAAGATGTCCGGACTTTAACTCCCAGAATTCCCCAGCCAGCGAATGCAGTTGATGATGGCACCTCTTTTCAGAGGTGGGTCTTCAACCAAAAGGTTCTTGTGCATCAATCCTACAGATCATCCTGGAGATATTTCGGCCCGTCTTTCTTTCCAAAAGAGCTTTAACTCGCGGATATTGGGGGAACCATCTTGACCAAGCTGGTTTTTTCCAGCTCATGCCACCACCTTAAGATCAAGGAGTCAACTCAACCATTTCCAAATGCAAAATGTGTTTTGGCGTCAAACCTTCTGTGGTCAATTTATTCAGGAATTCGGGATTGCTGTCGGGTTAAGTTTCAACTTATGTACAGATTACCTTGACATTCTCCAGTAAAATATTTCTGGCACAATCCAGAATCTACTCTTCCCCCAAGGATGAAGACCATCCAGATTCTGAAGCTGGAAGGCAACCTCAAGTTAGATGCTCTGCTTTATGGTGGGAAGGAGGGCTTCTTCTGTTGAAGTGAATAGACCTCTCTAGGTATAACATTTCTCAGTCGATCCAGAAAGTTCTCCATTGGCTCATCTGTCCTACAGCTACCAGGTCACCCAACGTTCTTCGGCAAACTCAAGTTGGAATCAATATGCTTTCTGCAGAAGGCTTTCCTCCTTGATGTTCTTCCATAGACATCCCGGTGCTGATGGACACTGAGATTTAAGACCATGCAAAGCTGCTCCACAGATCTTCTGCTGACGTTGTTTGAGGCCTCCTGGAGTATTGCATAGTTGGGTGACCATCTATGGAGTTGGAAGTTGGAAGACTAACAATGGTGACCATGGATGAATGGAGGCCCACTTTGGCAACGAGAACTGTAAACCTTTTTCCAAGTCCTGCAGAAAAATCTTTGGATTGGGACGTAATTCATTTCCACAAACTTGAATAGGAGGCTCCAATTGTGGTAATCAAACAATGTAGGTTTTTAATATGGAAGGTTCCCTCAAACATATAACCAACTGCCCTTCCCTGACAACTGGTTCAATGATTTACCCCCTCAAGAGCATCGGACAGCCCATATTTGGCGACTATCAGCACACCATTTTCCATAAAGATTAACAAAAAGCATTATTGTTTAGCCAAAAATCCCTTTATCCATTAATCGTGTTCAGATGAAGCTCTAATTACATGTCACAGTTAGCAAGATTATGGATCACCATAATTAAGCCTCGCCATAATTAAAATCCCTCCAGCCAAGGGCAGTCCACCATTTTCCAGAGCACATCTGTTCCCATCTGGAAGAGCGTTTCGCCGTAGGAAGTTTTTCTTGAAGTCAACATCAACATCTGCTTCCTCGTAATTCCCGCCCGTTCTTCTTCTGAACGATTCTGCCCTCTCTCTCACAGGTAGTCCTCGACGTGTGACCATAATTGAACCCAAAACTTCTGTCACTAAGTGAGACGTTTGTTAAGCGGGTTTTGTCCCGTTTTACGACTTNTTGCATGGGTCTTCTGAAGGCTGGGCAATCTGGGAACAGAACCTGACATTGGGAGCCACCCTCCAAGTGCCCGATCTAGACCCTGACCCACACAGAGGTGGGCTCAAAGGCTGCTTCGACCTACCACGGCCTCCAACCTTCCTGTGCTATCAACACACGGCCTGCTTCTACGCCACTGCTATTTAAAACCCCAAGCCCCATAAATGTATTTCTGATGCTCTACAGCTGCGTTTCTCACCCATGGCGACTTTTAAGATGGTACGGACCCCCACTTCCACAACTCCCCAGCCTTCTGGGAGCGGAAGCCTATCAGAGTTTGCAGCACACACATCCGGAAATTCAGCAGGATTCAAAACCTCTTTATATACATAATAAGACATAAGGCATATATACAATCCCCATGCTGGTTCTCTCAACGGGGTAGCAAATATAAGCAAACACAGGCAGAGAAAAGTTTCAGTTTAGAGCTCAGCACAGACTCAGAGCCACAGAGCTAAGCCACGCCCAGGCTCCTAGCTGTCTCCAGCAAATGCCCTTTCCGTTTGGCTTGACTTAGTTGCTATGCCTATTGCAAGTCCCTGCTCTCTCTCACACACCGACAAAGCCCACGCAGCTTAAAGTTGCCAAGGTTTTCCTCACCTCTGGACTTTAGGAAGACTTAAAAAAGAACAATTCACCCATTATTAGCCACTATACCCTCTATTCACACAGCTAAAAGTTTTGAAGTCAAGACAATGGCTGAGATAAAACCACCATTCTTGATCAAAACTCCATCCCTGATTAAAAACAGCTTCCACTAAGTCTCAGGAATCACAAACAGCAAAACACACACAACCACACTGACCAGCTTTCACAACTTAAAACAAGACCACGTCCATAAGAGTTTATAGTTCCACCTGAACCCCCAAAGACAAGAACAGGTTCAAAATAAAGTGGTAAACAAACACACACACATCCCATTGAAGGTCCATCTTCCAGGCCAGCCCTCCCCAAGGGAAGCGACACTCACCGACCCAAAGGGCACTGAAGGACCGTCTCTTGCTCGCCCACTCAGCTGTGCATAGCCGGGCCGCTGAAAACCTCAGCCGCTGGGCCAGATGCTGCTTCCGGTCCTGGTTAGCGTGGCAAGTCCTGGATCTCAGCATCTACAAGGGCCATCAGGTACTCCAAAGTCCAGAAACGGGCTGCAGAAAAAAACAACGTCAAGTATGAGATCATACAAGTAGGGTTGACAGGTTGTTATGATTCTTTATTCTAGCTATGGACCATACAAAGCAGGAATGGGGTGTAGCACCCCAAAAGCATGTCGAATGGTTGGGGAAAGCAAAGGAGAAGGCAGCTTTTGAAGGACCTACAAGGAAGGACGTGAAGGGACAATTAGCCAGTGGAACAGTTTGCCTTCAGACGTTGTGGGCCCTCCATCACTGGAGGTTTTTAAGAAGGGTCTACAACAGTGTTTCTCAACCTTGGCCACTTGAAGATGTCTGGACCTCAACTCCCAGAATTCCCCAGCCAACATAGCTGGCTGGGGGATTCTGGGAGTTGAAGTCCACAGGACTTAAAGTCGCCAAGGTTAAGAAACACTGTCTTAAAGCCTTCAGGGTTGGAGGCCCTTGTCCTAAAGACTCAAAACTTTTCAGTGGGAAGAAACGATGGGCAGAATCATCCTCCAACGTCAAGTCTAAAATCTCCACGTTGGCAGTTTTAGTGGTTAAGCTTCAGTTAAAAGTTTTTCCCCACCCTGGTAGCCTGGATGTTTGGATGGGCAAACACTTAATCTGACCACAGAATTTAGGAAAAAGACCTTGGAACAAATAGAGGAATGTTAAGCTGGTGAAATACAGGCAACTCTTCAAATTTTAACCCCTCGTTTTAACAGTCGTTCGAAGATACAACAGCACTTCAGAATGGTCCTCGCATTTATGGCCATCAGTTTCCCCATGGATTTGGACACTTGTCACCCAGCCTCCCGGGATGATGGATTCACTGTTTGCAAACCTCCCAGCCAGCTTCCTGCAAGCGGAGTCAATGGGGGGGGGGGAGAGGCACAAGGGACCCACTTAAATGCAGTGATTCACGTAACAACTATGGCAAAACAAAGTTTTAAAATCATGCACCACTCTGCTAACTGCCTTGTTTAGCAACAGAAATTCTGAACTGTGGTTGTAAGTTGAGGATGGAGAGGGGAAGGAAGGAAGGAAGGAAGGAAGGAAGGAAGGAAGGAAGGAAGGAAGGAAG